AGCCAGAGAGAGAGAGAGAGAGAGAGCCAGAGAGAGAGCCACAGAGAGAGAGAGAGAGAGAGAGAGAGAGAGTCCGGTAGCACTTTTAAGAAGACCAGCAATGTTTTATTCCAGCTTTTGTGTGCAAGCACACTTTTTCTTCAGGGGTGGTGGGAAGGGGGGGGGGAAGAGACAGAGAGAGAAAGAGAGAGATGGATCCCCCTGTTCTTATATCTGGGCGAGTGAAATGATTTCAGACACCAAATGACAATAGCAGGCATTGGTAATGAGAGAAGAAGCCTAGGTCTCAATTCAGTCCAGGAGTTTACATTGTCTTGCGCTTCATTGCAATCCAGCAGTATCTCTTTCTATTCTCCCTTTGAAATTCCTAAGGGAGAAATTGATATAGGTGAGGTTGGATTTTCTGACCTGGAACCTTTGTTGCAACAGCCAATATTTGCAAATGGTCCCTCTTCAACAAAAAGGGTGTGAAGAACACCGGGGCATCAAGGCGCTTTCACTACTGCAAAGTAATGCTGATGCTGACAACTGGAATTGTTCACCTTCTGAGAGGCCTTTAACAAAGTCCCTCACCAAAGACTTCTGAGGAAGGCTCAGCAACTGTAAGGTGCAACAAGAAAGCTTCCTATAGCTTAGAAATTAGGGTCAGGAACAGTACTCCCTCTAAGCTGTGGTGTGAGCAAAAATTCCACTTTGCGAGCTCCTGGCATTAAAATTGTGAGTGAGTGATTTGGCTCCTGCATAAATTAGTTTGCTCTGGAAGCCATCCTTCCTGCGCTAAGACAAAAAATGTGTGAGCCGGAGGCTAAAAAACTGTGAGCTAGCTCACACTAACTCAGCTTAGAGGGAACACTGGTCAGGAATAGTGAAGAACAAGCCAATCTGTTTAGCTTCCCACCACTAGGCAAACAAGCCGCTCCCTGAGGAACTGTTATGAGCTACTCATTATTGAGTTAGAAGTAAACTCTGACATATGCCAGATTCACAACTGAACCAGAATTATGCAACCACAAGCAGACTGTTAAAAGAAAAGCAATATGAAATGCACCATGAGACAAAAAAAAGGTAACCATTGCATCCTTTGTGAGTCATGTGACTGCTTTTGGAAAACAGAGTATACAGAAAATGGAATTTCTGCAGTTACAAATTAAGCAGGACCAAAAGCATACAAGCAGTGGTAGTATGGTCTTCTGAATCTCAATTAAATCCAAATTATTTTTAAATCCTATGTTGACTCATACACTGATGGAGCATAAATCACCTGCAATACAGACTTGGGTCATAAGTGCCAACGTGGACGGTGCTGAGTTCAGAAAGGGGCATGACGACAGCAGGAACTGTTATGAAAGCGTCAGGGGGGAAAATCAAACACTGTTTGGCATATAATCGACCATTTAGCAGTCTGCCACCCCTCAATTGTGAACTTTCATAACAGCAAACAGCAAAGCAAACCTGAAAAAAATATTTAAGCTACAAACCGAGGCTTTTTGGCTGCTAAGTGTTTTATGCAACTTTTATGCTCCGGCTGGGTTTTGAATGATTTTTATCATATGTTGCTCTGTGGTCCCTGGACAGGTCTCTGGACAGAGGTTACTGTTGTTGTTCAGTCGCACAGTAGCATATACATTTTCTATTCAATCAATAAATATTTTCATGTAAGACCTAGCAATAAAAGCAAATGAAGCAAGTAGAAATAAAATCATACTTACATGTGGAGAGCTATGATACCACCACAAACCCTACATATTTCAAATACCTGGTTAAATAAATGCTTTGACCCAGTGCCTGATACTAATTAAATCAGGTGCAGGGAAATACTGGGCAGGGGTGTTCCATAGCTGCAGAGCCATCACAGAGAAGGCCATCTCTCTGTTGCCACCCATTTATCTCACCTGGCAGGCCATTCCAGAGGGATGGAGCAATTATTAAGAAGGCAGCAGATCTCATCACAGTTACAAAGCAGGTACCTCTAGTGCAGAGGTGTCAAAGATATAGTCCGTGGGCTGGATCCGGCCCTTGCGGGGCTTCTATCCAGCCCGTGAACAACTGGATGTCTGCTGCTTTCTCCTTCCTGTCTCTCACATTGCAGCTCCTTTTCCCCAGTCTCTCCTATTTCCTGCTTGGAAGAGGAGAGAAAGAAAGCTTTCCTTTGATTGGCTGAGGGCTCCTCCCCCTTCCCCTCGGGGGAGGGA